GCCATCGAGAAAAGGCCATGCACATATACAAACAAAAGGCGGGCAAATTTGCCAGCTAAGTCACAGCCACTTATGGGCACTCCTCGGGCCCATAACAGGCTAATTTTTATGCAAAAATATAAAAATCAAGCACGGGTAAACAATCAAATTTGAAACAGCATTCATTCAAAAAACGCCCGAAGGCAACAAAGCAAATAAAAGTAAACCGACCAAGAAGGCCGGTGATGTTCAGGAAGTACAAAACCAACGGGCACGCAGGCCCAAAAAAAAAAACGAACGGGCACGCATGCCCAAAACAAATATCAATAAGGCATGCAGGCCCGTCATCCTATAATCCAGTTTCCCCGGAGCCATCATTGTCGACAACAGGAGAGTCAGGCGGGGGCACGATCATGCCATCCACAATCTGATACATGTAGCCCGTCCCTTCGGTGATCAAACCGGGATTCAGCAAGGAAAGCTGGCCGACCGCGGAGTCGAACCCCTCCTCCATAGCACCGACGCAATCTGCTTCGAGGAGCCGGATGTGGGCGACCAGCTCCGATCGACTCTTCAAAGCGGCGATATCCTCCGGCTCGTCCTCGGCAGGAAGCATGGCGACTTTCAGATCCTCGATCTGTTGGGTTAGGCGCCCGATGTCGGTCTCCGGACGATCCCGGTCCGCACGGAGAAGCTCTCCCTCCTCGGCTAGCTTCCCTGAGTTTTCCTTCTCCAAAATCAGCATCTCCCTCTCGGCAGCTAGCAGCGATGCCTGTTCGCGGAACATCTCCTCGGAGCGTTCCAGGGCAGTCCTTAATTTGCGCGAACTCGAGGCAAGGGCCGCTTTCTCCTGTTCCAATGCTTCAATGCGGACAGGATCCTCCCCTTCCTCAGACAGCACAACGGCCATTTCGGCCATTTTCACCAGCCCGACCATATTGGCGGCCAAGTGCCTCCTCCGGTCCTCCTTAATCATCCTCTTGATAGTCTCGGTCTCGTCGGCAACCACAGACAAAGGGAATCCCTCGAAGAAACCCTCCTCTTTGAAGCAAGGGGGCAACCCAAAGGACCTTACGGCGCTGGCGTCCTCACCGACTGCCGGCCCGCTTTCCACCCGGTTCCTTTTTCTTTGTATTAGGTCGGCATGTGGCTCGACCTCTTGAACCTCTGGGATCTCTTCCGACGCGGCCCCCGAGCTAGGCGACGAATCCACCCTCACCACATGAGGAGCGCCCGGACTATGCGGCGGGCCCATCCTCGTTGCTTGGGGAGCCTTCACAACCCTCTTGCCCCGCTTCTGGTCACAAGACAGCTTCAAGAGTCTTTCCCGTCGCCCGGCCATCGAACCTGCACAAAATAAAGACCGGGTTAGTGTCGAGCAAAAACGCAAAACAAATGACAAGCAAAGAAATTCAGGCAATAAACGACCTAGCAGACGAGCAGCCTGCCTGAACGACTGGCACTCCACGAGTGCCTTAGTATCGATCGGTCGGGCCTCGAATGTCGGGTAACCCTCCTCGTCCAGGACATCTTCCCCCTCCCTCGTGGCCCACCTGGCGGGGTGGAAGCTGTCAACGAACCGACAAAGAGTGTCGTAAGCTTTCTCATCCTCGGAATCCATGTCGCCTGCAGAAGTATGATAATACCCAGTTCCGTGCTCGTAATGCGTAAACATCCAATGCACGGGGAACTTGGCCGTGCGTGCCATCACGAGATACCCGTCGTTGTCTAAAATTGCCTCCCCGTCATCGTCGCTCATCGGCGCTTCCTCCTCGTACAGGGATTCTAAAGCGGTCGTGGTAACCGGCCTCACGATGTACCACTTGTCTTTAAAACCCCGCACGGAGTCCATATACATCTTGAATAGTCTCTTCGACTGCTTCAGGGAGACCCAGCTGTGCTTCTCTCCCCGGGATTGGCGCTGCAGATGAAAGATTCTGAAGAAGAGAGGTATAGTCGCCCCAACCCTCAAAAAGCGACATGTCAGCTCAAACGCCCGGATAAAGGCGATCGAATTCGGGTGTAGCTGCGACGGGGCCAGCCCTAAATGAGCGAAGACCTCGGCCTGAAAGTCGCTGAAGGGCAGCTGCAGCCCAAGGTCTTTGAATGCAATCTCGTACATGGGGAAACTGTACTCGGGGTACACCGAGCATATCTGAGCAGTAGAGGTCGGTCGCGTAACGACAAAATTTTTTTGAAAATCAGGCTGACTGTGGCTCGCCTCAAGGACAACATATGGCTTTCGGTTACGCCGGCTATAGATCGAGGCGATTCCTCTAGGATCGGCGCCCACCCAGTCTAACAGAGGGTATTCGATAGTGTCGATCAAACTCACCGCCTCATCAGCACTCTGTTCCTCCCTTTCGGGGCGTCCAGAAGAGCACGGCTCGTCCGCCATGGTTACCTGCAGAGCACGGGAAACTAATCAATTGGGCACGAAACCATACGCTCGACGTAACGGACCAGATGTAGTGCGCGACAAACCACGTCACTCCACGCGTGACCATAAAGTAAGTTTGAAACAAAATAGCAGTCGTCTCCCCGACATCCAGATAACTTGATGGGACCTTCTCCAAGCCGCCTAAGCAAACCGACAATGCAGTCACTCACGAATATGCCGAGCTAAGGTATGAACATGGCGAGCAACATCATAAAGCCTACAACCAGGACCATGAGCATACCGGGCACGATCATGAATCAGGCGCCCTGGATCATGAAGACCCCGGGCAGCACTGCAGATTATAACCTAAACCATGTATCTACCGACCACGAGCATGTGTTTGTCGGTCCTAAGCATGAATATGTCGAGCTAAACATGAATTTACCGGGCTAGTCCCACGCGCACAGCCTCTAAAAGCGTCTAAAACGATGAAAATCATGCATCACAACAGAAAAACAGAGAAGATAAGTCACTTACTTGGAATTAAGGAGTGGATTCGGCAACGGAGGAAAGAAATCTGTGACGGATATCGCGACGGTGCTATGAGAATCCGGAAGAACAACAGCAGCAGAAGCGCAAAGAGTAGTAACGCGTTATGGGGCCCAAGGATCCTATTTATAGTGATGACGTGGAATACCAAACGTCACCTCGGGCAACCACAGAGTTCCTCTCCTCGACGCACGGCTCCCAAGGCAATAATGACCCTATCCTCATAGGGTGGCGGCACAGCTCCCAAAAGATACCTCGCGCGCTCGACAGACGCGCACCGATTGAGGAATCCCCGAGCACTCTCCGCGAGGAGCACCCCACGAGGAGCTGCGTCTTTGACCCGGGCATGAGGCCCCGAAACGGAAGCAACCTAAGATCAAGCCATGGCTCCTAACCCAAGGAACCACGACTTGGGGGGATCCTGTTCTGGACTGGGCCCGACTGGCCCAATAGCATTGATAAGGCCCAATCCAAACGGACTTGCTGAGGGCCACACCAACCAAAGGGTCACAGTCGTGCCCGACGTGCTCCCTGAGACTACTTGCTCGACCTCCTGCTGCCCAGCTCGACCTCCAACTGTCCAGCTCGACATCCTACTGTCCAGCTCGACCTTACCTCGAGCACCCCAACTAGGGCAGACTCAGTCCACTGCACTCCCAACGAGACCCCGAAAAGACCGCGTCTCTGTCCGCCCGCACTTCACGCAGAACATCCAGGGAGGGGACCACGTGCGGGTCCCCACTACCCACGTAGAACCTGGCAGTTCCTCCATTGGGCCAAACCTGCCCGGCCCAATGAAGGAACCTTGGCCCAGCGCTGGGGGCTATAAATACCCTCTGTTTCCAAAGGGTCAGGTATTCATCATTCTACCCATACTTACTATTGCCTGCTCGTGCTCTTACTTACTTCAACATCGGAGTTTCTTGCAAGTACCCCCCCCCACCTCGTTCAAAACTTTCAGCTTGGAGCCAGCCGTGACGGTCCAAGTCTGATCAGGTTAGATCAGATACCTACGGGAAGTGTGAGATAAATGTCATTGTTAAGTCTATGAGTATATTTTGAAGTTTTAAAGGAGATTAATTACTTTATTAGTTGCATGTATTCTTAAAATTCCAAGTAGAGAATGGAAAGTTAATAATTGATCTTGGAATTGAGGAATTATGGGGTTTTCTTTGTCAGATTTACTCCTCTTCCACGAAAAGCAACAATGATGATGAAGTTTGAGATTTTGGAAAATGATATATTTTTATTGAGTTTTCGTGATCATGTGATGTATGTCTTTATTGTTTATGTTGTGTGCATACATGTTAGTTGCTTATGTGTATGATTTGATTATATTTGTTGTACTGTTCAAAGGGTGAGTATTTATTATTGGTGTAAAAATTTGAACCATAGAACCAATATACCCATTGTCTATTTTGTGCATATGGATTGGGTTAGGTCGGTGTCAGATTGATTTTGTAATTTAATTTGGATAGGATATGATTGTTTCTATCGGTTTCATATAATTATTTTGAATCAGTCGAAAATTGAATCCAACCGAATCTAACTAATATTTATTTTATTTATTTTTATAACTATAAGACAAACCATTATAAAAATAGGGTTTCAAAAGTCACAAACCAAGATGCAATGGATTAAAAGAAACCTCCAAAAGATCAAAGATTATCCAATAAACCATTAATATTAGAACTCCCCCTATTTAAATTGCATTCCATAACAGCAACTGTGGTTGCAATATTGTTGATATGGTAACCTCCGCATCAGACTGCAATTGTAATCACATGTCCAACAACATTAGAATTCACATCAAACATCTTCACCCATGTTTCTTCACATATTTTCATCATAATTCAAAATTCGAGAACCCAAAAACACAATTTATATCTGATTTGTAATATAAAATATTAACATTAAGAGTTTTAAAATTGTGTATTTCAAATATATTCCAATCATAATTCACGCTGCAATGGCCGTAATACGCACCACAACAACTACAATGGCCATAATCACAACACTCACAACCACAACCGCATCCACGACCACAATTGCAATTTAAAACCATGCTCCCCTAAAGGATTTAGATTAAGAGATGGTAAGCCTAGGATGTGAAGTTTCTCTTGTATAATAGAGACTTGTGACTGAGGCTTCAACACCCCCATTAGGCACTTAGAATACGTTGACACCTTCTCGTCATCTAAGATCACTTCACGCCATTTATACTTTCCTGAAAAAGAAGGTTGACACGCAGAGTTATTATGATGATCATGACTTGATTTCTTAAGTTTTGAAAGTTTGTCCCTCACACATCCTTAAAAGATACACCTTGCTACCTTAAAGAGGTCATATGACCGTCACTTTTGTGCCCATCCATAAGCAACTTCCTAGGTTGGATATATTGAGCATATCTTTGAGAATAAGTCCACTTGGCACCTCACATTGAAGCTCACAAACCACACATTATTTAGGTTATCTTAAATTTTCTGTAAATTTTTAACTTCAAGGAATTAACAAAACTAACCTTATTACTATGTTTGTTATGTTTTGAGGAAATAAACACCTTATGCACTAAACCACACTTTTCAAATCTCCTTCTAATTCTAAGGTAGGTGAAATTCAAAGGAAAGTTTTCGAAGTAAAAGGAAGTAATATTCTTTGGAGGTTGTTGATGAATGGGGATGTCACACTTGTGATGTTTTGGGTCTTGATATTTTGACTTGTGTTTCCTGTAAGGAGTAGACTCTGAATCCAGTGAAGCATCCTTGACTGGATGGTTGAAGAAGTATTGGTTGAGTTTTTAGACAATGTCTGACTGAATGTTAGGACTTTACTCAGGACATGTTTCCTGTGAAACCAACAAAGGAATATTGTGGACAGTTTTTATCAAACACGTGTCAGAAGGGAGTGTAGAAGGTGTGTTTGACTATACATGTGCATTTATTGGGACCTGTTGTGTTCAAAAGAAATAGTCCAACGATAATAAAGGAATTCAAAGCTATTTTGGACAATGCATATTGATTTTGGTGGTAGTTTTTCTTCTCAAATAACGTTTCCTTTTGACCAAGATCACTGATACATTCAAGGATCGTTATTTCCCAAGTAAATGCCCATCTATTTATAGAGGTTACTCCTGTCCTTTTTCACCCTGTGAGTGTTTGGTGTTTCCATATTTCTTATGGCTTTTGTCAGGGTATGGGTGAGTTATGTCTGGGTATGGTTTTTGAAGGCTTTCTTTGCCAATTTTTGGCTAAAAAGGGGGAGAAAGGTTTTGTTCAGATGTTGATGCTACAAGAATTTGCTTTTACAAATGTTGTACAAAGATGTTGGATAAGATGTCCGATCTTGTTTCTGTGTTTTTTTTGTAACCTGTGATCTGAGTTATGAGCATAATTGTGACCTGTGTTTTGAGTTACCCGGGTTGGTTGTAGATTGGTGGTTGGTTGGTTGCTGATTAAGGATTCTCTTATGTCACTATTGATCTTTTAAGTTCCTGGGTTGAGGGGGAGAATCTCCCATCTTCTTCCTCATGTACACAAAATGACTTCAGGACTTCCTATTCCCCTATCCTGAGGTTTTTGTTTTTTGGTGTTGAGCTTTTGTGTTGCAATGGAGCTTTTATGAAGAAGATGTTGAACATGATGTCCTAACATCATTGTGCTTGTGAAGTGATATCCCTTCATGTTGCTATGCTGTTGTGTTCAGTAGTTTCTGAAGACTACTGTTGATGGGTGTATTTTTTATTGTTGTAATCTGGATTGTAATATATGTTATTTGTTTTAGTCAAAATTTGTCAAAGGGGGAGATTGTTAGTTCTCTATTTTTAGGATTAAAATAAATTTTAGTAAAACAAATATAGCAGTAATATGTTAAATATGACGTGATTACTTGCTATGAAGAACATGTTTAGTAAGAAGCCTAATTTAATGTTTAGATGAGAAGTTCTCATCATCTGGAGAAACATGTCAGATAAGATGTCATATGCAAGGTCATCCAACATCATGTCTGTGCTGGACTGGACAATTGGATCAGTTCAAGATTTAACAGATGCAAAATATTCTGGGAATATTATGCTATCCTATGTAGGTATTGAAGATTCAAGTCAGAATCAAGAAGAATATTAAAGAATATTGACTTTCTAATTATGGAGATAAATTATGAAAGATTTGCTTGAAGACCTGTTTTTTAGCAGAAGTTTATGCTAATTTGTAGTAGCTGATATGCTGTGATTTTAAGCCCAAATGCAGTTGGAAAAAAGGTTATAAATAGAAGCATTATAACCTAGAAGAATGCATCAGCCGTGAATGAAAAGATGTAGTTATTAGGGCTGAGTTTGTGTGCCACTTTTTAGGAGACTTGGTTATTTGTGAGCCTCTCTGATATCGTGTTGATAGAGGAGTATGACTGTTCCTTGAGTTGTACGCTTCTGTTATCTCTCTTAAGCTTTTAAACATAGAGTTGATTATTGTTCTTGGAGGAAGCTTTTAAGCAACTCTAAGTATTGTTCTTAGTCAAGAGTTTTAGCTAGGTATTGTCATGGAAGTGTGTCTTCTGGTTTTGCGTCATGGAAGTGTGTCTTCCTGTTTTGATCCTTGTCCGTGATTGATGAGGGAGTTGAGGAGGGTCTCATACCTAGGTGAGTCTTAGGTAGAAAGTTCGCATGAGTAGTGATTAAGTGAGAAGTTGTAAACGGGGGAATTTAGCTTTAAGATGATACTATTATAGTGAACTTTATCTCTGGCTTGGTATGCCCCCAGAGTATGAGAGTTGTTCTGAACTGAGTTAAAAATTATGGTGTGTTGTTTATTTTTCAGTACTATTTTGTATGTTTATTATTTGCCTGTGTGTTTTGTTCAGATCAGATATCTTGACATGTTATAGGATATCTGAAGTCTGATATACCAGAATTTCAAAAAAAATCCATGATATGTTAAAAATTGAGTTTCGATGACTTAGATCCTACTCAACAAGACATATTTCTAGACATTGCATGCATATATGACACAAACCAGTTTCAATATAAGTATTCTAAAGAACAATTTTTCCTTACAGCTGTATGAAATGCTTGCAATTTTTTTGCTCAAAGTGGATTGGAAGTCCTTCTATATAAATCACTTATATATTTTGAATGTTTTTACCCTGGAATAAGAATGCATGGTTTGTTAGTAGAAATGGGGTGAGAGATTATTAAATAAGAATCCCCCAAAGACCCAGGAAGAAGAAGTCGATTGTCTTGAAATATTACAAGGTAAGTGGAAGATTCATTTACTTGCATGAAATATAAGTAAGATAAATATGTATGTGAGCCAATAATTATTGTAAATTTATTTTTCAAGGAACTGATGTTGTTGAAGTTATAGATATTGATATTTCTGAAATTGGGGATTTATACTTAAGTTCTGATTCCTTTAAAAGCATGACCAACTTAAAATATCTTTATATCACCAATAATGTAGATATGGTAGATGAGTCAGATGAAGTCTACATTGTGCACCTCCATGAAGGTCTTGAGTGGTTGTCTGATAAATTGAGACATCTTTATCGGGATTCATTTCCACTTAAGTCTTTGCCATCAACCTTTTGTGCTGAATGGCTTGTACAACTAAGCATGCACCATAGCAAGCTTAAAAAGCTCTGGGATGGAGTTCAGGTAAAATTTAATTAATTTGTAGAGGTGTATTTGTATAAGCTCATTCCTAGATCCCTGCCATAACTAAGCTCAATTATATAAATTATTTAATTACGAGTTTACTCTAATGATTTCTTAACAACGTGGTGTTTTTTCTTCATATAGAGGCTTGACAATTTAGTGGTTATTAGTCTTGATGTCTCCAAAGATCTGATTGAAATTCCAAACTTATATACTTATGGCAAATGTTTTTATTATGATATCTATGAACATACCAAAAAAGTTGACAATGTTGTACAAAACTTTGTAATGGAGGGGGTATTACTTTCAGATCATGTATTCATGACCTACTGATACAATAACCCTAAATTGGCAAAGGTGGGGAGTGAAAACGGAGGTGATCGTCATTACAACCTTTCATTTGAATTCAAACTTCGTGACACTATAGAGGAAATATGGTTAACAAAAGGGATCAAAGGTTGTGGGGTCATCCCTGTATATGATTGTAAAAGCAAAATCTTCTTGTAAATGTTCTTATTGATATTTATTAATGATTATTGTATTTTTATTCATGATACTCTTATGCATTCTAATGTCCCAAGTTTTGATATTTAGCAAAAAAAAGTTCAAAGATTATATAAGATTAAGGAATTACTATGGTCACAATGTGTAAGACGTGCATCAATTCAAAGTGATGAAGAATAAAGACAAACTATAAGTTTTATTTATTGATATAAAAAATATTATTAGTTTATGTTGGTCCGTTTTTATCTTACATATTTCTACAAAGAACCTTATCATCCTTTCGAAAAGAAGTTCTTTGAATTTCAAAGGTAAGAAGAATCATCATCCTTTCAAAAAGAAGATCTTTCAAAGGTAAGAAGCATAATTTTAATTAGGTTTAAATATGTTTTTGGTCTCTATAAAATTATCAAATTTTGTTTTTGGTCCCTATTAAAAAATAGATATATTTTAGTCTCTAAAAATTATTATGTATGTAGTTTTAGTCTCTACTATTAAACTAATGTGTATTTTTGAGAGATTATTTTGCAAACATATTTAGAATGTTATAAAAAAATTCTAAAAAAAAAGGAAATCAGAATTTGATTTCTAAGTCAAGATTTTAAGTATTTTTATCATTATTTTTTAAAATTTTAAAAATTCATAATTAGTTCTTTCCATTTTTAAAAATTCTAAAATTTAGTAAAGAAATACTTTATAGTATTCTAAATATATATGAAAAAAATTATTAAAAAATTTAAAATATTAAAGGTAATTAAACGTATTTTAAAATTCTATAAAATAGTAAGGACTAAAACTGTATACGTAAAAATTTTATAGAGATCAAAAATATTTTTTTTAAATAGGGATTAAAATTAAAAATTAAGTTATTTACGGGACCCAAAAACATATTTAACTTTTTTTATTAAAAGATTTAAAAACAAAATAAAATTAGATGTATATGGTACTGAAATTATCAAGTTATCAGTTTATAACACTTGTCTATTCTAATGTTTAATCTCATAATTGCATCAGAAAAGTAAACATGATCTAATACATGGTAAGATTTGTAATCGACCCGAATCCTAATGGAAATAGATGATCATAATATTTATCAACATTCATCGGTTCCTGATCAACTGTCTTGAATCACGTGCTTGCCAGCTTGCCAATGAACTCAAAGTCATCATAGAGAACATTGTGGACACCTTGGACTTAACCGAAGGGATTTTCAAATTTTTTTGATCCTCTTAATAGAATAATTCTGATAAATGGATTTTGATTAAATCATTAATCACAAATCATACTCAATAAATTTAGATTCAAGAATTACCTTTTGAAGTGTGTTTCATTTTTGATCACGAACGACGAAAGATACAAGTACCTCTACGTTATCCACGTGAGTGCAAATTGGAAGACAGTGCTAGCCGTTTTCAGAAAATAACAAAATTGACTATTAGTATTTCAAGAGAAAGATCTTCTCTATTTATACAAAAATGCTAAAACCATAACTCTTATTTTGGACTTTTTCAAAACAAGTCCAATCTCATTGAAATAAACTATTTGAATTAATTAAATATTATTTATATTTAACTAAAATCTTTTAATTAACTAAAATAAAGTATTAATAAAATCAAGGGTTAGTACCACTTTCCCTTCGTACAAATTAAACAATGAATATCGGGGTAAATCAAGAAAAAAATATTACACGGGGTAAACTTTGCACTGTGTGTTTGGTTCGAGGTAGATGAAGGGGAGAGAAAGGGAGGGGAGGGAATATTTCTGATTAAATGTGTTTGGTTTAATTTTTAAGAGGAGAGAGGAGGGAAGCAAAATCTCTTCAAATCACACTTTTTGCTTCCCTCCAAATCGAGGGATTCTGAGGGGAGGGAAGAGAAAATGAGTTTTAATATTTAATAAATTAATATATTTACTAAAATATTCTCTATTTTATTTTATTATTTCATAATTATTATTTTCTATCGTGTTCTTGTTTCTCTTTTTTGTGATTTTTTTCTATTACTTCCATCAACTTATTATAATTATTCTTCACATTCAAATTATTTTTTATTTAATATAAATTATAACCACTATAATTTTTTATTTTTTTTATAATTTTTATTTTTATTTTTATACATGTTAGTTTTTTTTTCTAATTTTGTTATGTGTTTTATATATGTGCTTTTATCTAAATTTCAACCCATTCATTTTTTAGTTATTGTTTTGTAATATATATAATATTTAATAATAATTTATTTTATGTATTCAAAAGTTGTTATCAACACATAGTTTATTTTGTGTCGAGAGTTATAATATGAATTAAATATACTCAATTTTTTTAATATTGTGTAGTAAATTATAACTTTTTAATCACTCAATATGACAAATGTTATTTTCAATAAAATATTTATTATATTTTCACCTTTAAATATCATATCACTTATATAAAATCATAAAGATAAAAAAGTAAATCATTTTCATTGGTAAATCATATCACTACTGCAGAAATGACTTTTTACATTGGGTGAAACTGATTTTTTATATCGGTCTGGGTCCGATGTAAAGTCAGGCGATATAGTAAATCATGAACTTTTTACATCGATTCTGGGTCCGATGTAAAAAGTCCTTTTTTTACATCGGTTGTAATCTAAGACTGGTGTAAAAAACAATTATAACATTATTTTAAAAAAATTGACGCAACATTTTACATCGGTTAAACGTGCGGACCGATGTAAAAAGTCTCTTTTTTACATCGGTTGTGATCTAAGAATGATGTAAAAAACAATTATAACATTATTTTTAAAAAATTGACGCAACTTTTTACATCGGTTGTGATCTAAGCCCGATGTAATATATATAGTTTTGAAAGTTTTTACATCAGTTGAGAGTAATAACCGATGTAAAATGTAAGAAATTTTTTTAGAATAAATTATTTATTTTCTGGATGTTTCCCTGTAAAAAAAATTGGTACCCTTTTTTCATATTTTTCCAATATCACACAGACTATATTTATGTCGCTATATAGATTTCATAGCTTTCCAACATCACATAGACCACATCTAGATCGATATTTTCATATTTTTCACAACAAACTTACAAAATGAATAATTGTATTGCAAACTTGTATTGTATCACAACAAACTTACAAATACATATTCTTCACAAAACATACAAAAATATTCAACTATTTATAAGTCTTTTTCCAAACTTGAATTACCAATATAAAATCCACAAGTAGATGAGTTATAGCTTCGGTAACAACACCAAAATTACATTGCCTGACAATAAATAATAACAATTAACATCAGCAAAAAAAATCAAGAAACTCAATACATGTGCAAAAACCACATGTAATGTGCAAAAACTCAATAATAACAATTATGTGCAAAAACCACAACTTAGACAATTCTATAAAACTCACCAGATAAACTTAATTTTTATATAACTCAAAGAAACATTTTGCCCAACGGAGTCACAAATCATACAAATCATCTTGTGTTAATTCTGTTGGATCATCAAATACCTATAATACATAAATATAACAATATAGAGTTATTCTTTAAAAATTCATATTAAGTCGAAAAACAAAAAGTAAATAACAAAGTAAAGTTATTTTTAGTACCTGCGTCTAATTCTCGATTATATTAGCAGAGACAATATCCAACATATTTTTCATCACATGGTGTCCACAATCATTAGAGTTATGTTGTTGCCTTGTCTACAATTGAATGACATAATTAGTGAATATGTATCATAAATTTAACTATAGAATTACAATTTACATCACACTTACATTGGGATGAAGCCATGTAGCCTTTTTTCTATTTCCATTTGCCATTTGATGAATCCCAAAAGAACTAATACAGAAAGATAAACATCACATAACTAAATTTACTCGCCAATGAAAAATCACATAACTATTAGTTGCCAATGAAAGTCACATGAAAGATAAATTACTTTGTAATAATTTTCTTCATGTTCTGGTCAATTTCCCGATGAAGTGAACAAAATACGACAACTAAATTGTCTCTTGGACACATGACTATTAATTGTCAATGTCTTCTGTACGTGTGTGTGGAAACAGAAAAGTCACATAAAATATATATGTTATCAAAATTAAATAATATAAAACACAATTTCATAAAAATTCTTACCCATGAATTAATGGTAGTAAGTGGCACACTCTGTTTTCATCACGTAACTTTTCTAGTACGTAATTTTTAACATCCTCTTGAGATTTCGCTCCATTATCATTATAAATACACCTAGCAGGGTCCATAAATCCATATAATTCTGAAATAGAATTCTCAAGACATACACGATGAATGTACCTGAATAATTTTAAAATAAACATTAGAATCAAAGTGATGAGAGATATAACATATTAATAGAGATTGACTTTAATAAAAAAATAAAATGTACTTACGTGCACCAAATTTGCAGAATAGACACGTCAAATCAATGACCTAAACCCACAAATAACTCTCTGATACACTTAGCTGAAATATAAAAATTAGAGAGACTCACACAATGACTTAATTGTATTTCAAAATGGTTATCATCCATTTTCAAAACCATGAGTAACAATCTCAGAACATCATCAACTTCCACGTCTTTTGTGCTTCCTTTTGTGCTTCCTTTTGCAGTTGAATAACTTCCTTTTCCGCTTCCATCGATAATTTCCATTTTTTAATGCATTTAATATTATCTGTGCTTTGTTATAAACCTATAGACTTAAGTGTCTCCATTAATGATTATTGAAACATCTTACGCTCTTCAACCAACTTTTCTTCAAGCTCAGCTCTAAGTTTTGTTTCTAATGTTGCAAGTTGTTCATTTACGTCAATATGTTG